CTTAGTGTATCCTTCAGGACACGGTTTCAACCTTTGCCTTTCAGCTCTGCACACAGAAGCACAGGCAAGCAGCTGGATTCTATGCGGCCTTCCACAACTATGACTACATCACACCAGCATTTCGGCGGCTCACTTAGTCCATAAGTCACATTCTCTGCAGTTGAGCTCTCCTTGGCTCTCTAGACACACACAGTAAATTGTTTTTTAATCTGGCGTTTATTCTCACTTGACTCATTTTTAAAGTCTTCTCCATTTTTTTTCTTCTGTTCATTTATAACTCTATTAGCTTGGAGACACCATTCATTTTGTAAGCAGGCTTTAAACACATTTCATCTATCAGGATTAATTTTACTGCGTGCACCACCAAATAAATACATTAAAAACAATTGTAACACTTCATTAATCAAAATGCCAACTTCCACGGGACTGAAATGTTCCCTACCTTAAAAATCCACTTTCTGGGCTGGTGAGTGCCTGTCTATTTAGCTAAAATATAGAACGTGATGTAAAATCCTGTCATTCTATTAGAATCTGTGTGCAAGATTTGAAGAAGTAATCCATTATAATTAAGGCTAATTGATTATTATATGGTCAAATGAGCAACAAATGCACGTGCAAAATCTAAAATGTTAATTATTTGAAAATTGGTTAATCAATTGTGCATTCAAATGCGCATTTGTTTTAGCACGCGACACTTTTACAAGGGATTAGTCTGAAAAAAAAACATTAAAGTCAAACATTTTCAAGCTATCTCTGCTCTCGGAGGAAAGAAGATATTAAGATCAAATGAATCTGAGTTTTAAGAACCAAAGCAGTTTTGGTAATGAATAATCTTCAAAAGAAAAAAAAATTAATGTGTATACTTACTTAACATAATAAAACAGTGAAATCAGTCCCAATCACTTACTTTATGGAGGTATTTGGCCTGAGTATATTTAAAAAGAAATCTTCCCATATTTAATGGTTCGCCACCTGCATAAAACTCCCATAGGCCAATATTCAGATGAAATCACTATTTTCTTAGAAATAAAACTAGAATCATATAAAGACGAGCTAATTCCCAGCCAGTGATGTGGTTTCTAGAAAATCTTTTCATTCTCTAATTTTTACAAATAACTTATATTAAAAAAAAGAGAAAGGCTCACTCAGAGATAGTCGGCATCAGCGGCAATGAAAACCCTAAAGAAGGTGGAAAGAATTCATCAAAAGAGCCAGAAAAAGAATGGCTGGGAGTAAAAGACAAACCCTAGAGAATAGCAGAGTGCTTAAGTCAAGGGGGTGGTAGCAGGTCACCATGGCAGCAAGGGTTAATGAGGAGTGCTTTTTTTGTTTTTTTTTTTTTTTTTATTTTTATTTTATTTTTTTATTTTTATTTTATTTTTTTATTTTTTATTTTTTT